ATCCAAAGCCTCTGTTGTCTCTCCCTCAACAATGGCGAATGCAATTGGGAAGATATTTCGCTCACCATCTTGAGCAACTGCCATCAAAAGTACATGCCTATATTGACCATACAGCCACGTACCATCTACTTGGATCATACGTTTGCAAAATGGAAATCTTTCAATACATGCCTTTAATGCCCAAAATAGTCTATGAAATATTTTCTTCCCTGGCAGAAGTTGACCTTCTTTGTCATATGCGGGCATGGTTTGAGACTTCACTATGGTTCTTGGGATAAATCGCTTCATTGCTTGTAGCAAATGTGGTAGCTCATTGTACGATGTATCCCAATCTCCATACGTCAGCTTCATTGCCTTCATCTTCGCATTCCACACCTTGCCATATTTTACTTGATATCCAAATTGGCTTCGAATAGATGCAGCTAACACTGAACAATATATCCTTGGATCCTTTTCAACCATCGCCTTCACGTATTCACATATTACATCGGAGTCCAATAGTCGGTGGTCTTGTTCGATGAAGTTTCGCAAACATGTGTGCGGACCATTGTACCTCGTGATGACCCAAACATCGTGCCTTTGATTTTTCGACACTCTGATCTTCCACTTGCACTCTAGGCCATATTTTACACACTTCGCGTATAGGGTTTTCTGGTTGGACTCTGCAACATGGATATCAACATGGCATTTTATGCAGTACTCTTTAATCGCCAGGGTAGCTTCATTTTTTCCTCTGAATTGCACCCAAACTGAAAATTCACCAGAATTATCGAATGATTCAGTCATTTGGTATGGAGGTAAATGTGGCATGTCTGGGAATTCAGGTGCCCTCATCGCATCATAGTCTATCTCGTACATGTGAGGAGTAGCTTCATACGGTGCCGGAACTTCATCAATTGCACCTCCACCAAAAATATTTTCGTCGCCGCCCAAAACGGGTTCTTCGGTTTCTTCATCTTCGCTTGAATCATCATGAATTTCCCCCATCGATTTTCAGCGTCAATAACAACAACCAATTCCGGTATGTTTCTCGTCTCATACTCTTCTGTTGCAGATGTCCCCCCGACTTCATTTACACTTTCCAAGAGTGCCATAAAACTGTTCGGGAACCTGTATGTCGGCTCCTCAAACTGACTATATAAAGTCATTTCAGATGGATTTTGAGCCACACCACTTGATGACCCAGGAGCATCACATATGTTATGCACATCAACAAATAACTCAATAACTGCTATATTGGTTGACTCATGTAATCCAACCATGGTTCCAATATCATCATCTTCTTCAAGTGGAACTGCAGCATATTTGACTGGGTTGGGGCATATCATAAACCTATACCTCAAACCATCAACTGCAACTCAAATTTTTCTTTCTATCTTATGCTTCATTTCTATAAATGTGATGTCTTTTTTGAACATCATATTTATTGGTTTTTCAGACTGAAAAACTACTCCGATCTCATTTTCCATAATCTGTCCATTATAATGGACAATCGTGAAAAAGTTGTTTCTCATTTCCTTTCATTTCCTTTCCTTTATTGTTTCTTTCTTCGAATCAATATGTACGTGGAAAAATGTTATGGAATAATGCTCTGTACGTGTATAAAAATTATTTCTTTAAACAACAATAAATTAAAAAAATTAAATTTATATAATCTAATATATTATAATATAACTTAAACTAATAAACTATTTCTTTATTATAATATAATTTAGTTAAAATAACAAACTAACAAACTAATTAAGCACTAATTAACTTTTTTTAATAGTTTAACTTAAACTTCAACAAACAACCTAATATACGTTTAAACACACTAACAAATTAATTAAATATTTTTTACATTTAATAACTTAAACTAAGAAACTAATTAACTAATTTTTATATAATCTATATATAACTTAAACTAACAAATTAATATAATATAACTTAAACTAACAAACTAATAATTTATACTAACAAACTAATTAACTAAATTTCTGTTTTATCCTAAACCCTAAACTAACAAACTAATTATTCATAATTTCATATTAATAAACTAAATTAAACAATTAAAAATTACCTCACAAACGATGTTTGAGCCTTTATTTCCATTTCCTCTTCTTCTTCTTTTCCTTTCATTTCCTTTCTCTCGCCAAATTTTCTTTCTTTCTTATGATTCTACCCTAAACCCCTCATATCCAATATATAATGATCTTTCAACGGTTGGTAAGCTGCAATCAATTTGAGCTGTATAATTCACGTTGAAGGCTGTAAATTTTTCAACCGTTGAACGCTGCAATAATACAACACTAATTACTGCATGCAACAGCTGATTTTATGCTGCACCAATACAGCTATGATAACAAGAGTGGACAGTCTCGAAGCTATGGCATGAGGGAGCAGCTATGGCTCGAAGCTAGGGCACAAAGCTACGACACTTTGCAGCTCAAATCATGCTGTAATAATACAGCTATTATAGCTGCATGCATGAGTCTCCTGAGCAGATGTAAGAGGAATCACGCGAGGAGCAGGAGGAATAGGTTCTCCTGAGCAGCTACAAGTGGAATCAGACGCAAGGAGAGGATTGTATGGCTACCTATCCTGCATGGCCCAACGTTGGACGCCGGCGTGCATGGCGACCTATAAGGTCGCTGGGCGTACATGGCGACCTACCATCTTGGTCGCCGGGATTGCTTGGCGACCTACAAGGTCGCTGGGAGTGCATGGCGACCTTGTAGGTCGCTTGGAGTGCTTGGCGACCTATGGTTGGGTTGTGCATGTCCCATGCACGACACGATCCTCGTCACGATCCTCGTCGGAAGCAACGTCGTAGGTCGCCCGGAAGGCATGGCGACCTACGGCCAACTGTGCAATTCACCCTACTTCATCAATTAATCTTGGGAGAACGTTATTTCGTGAATTATTTATTTCCAAAGCAATATATCGTGAGTTTAGCCCACCTAAGAGTAATGTATCACATAAAATATCAGGGCAAGACTCTTAATAGTATATTGTATAAATTTTATTTAATAAAATTATTATTCACTATGTATACAAAATATAACAATGGAAAACTATACAATATCAAGAGTGAAGATGAATCTTGTTTTCAAATTGCCGAAGAAAAGTACAAGATAAAACCTGAAGTCGAAACCTTGTATCAGGACAAAATCATAAGTTAAGTCAACAACAAGTATTGAACTGTTAGGTGGAATTTTTAGGAAAAAATAAACCAAGACCAAGAGGTTGCTTAATGTATGCGAAAAGATGTTTCAAAGTTGTCATGTGAGACATCCGAGGAGAGGAAACAATCTGACCTAACAAATGCACAGTGTGAACTATGTGTGTTTGTAAGTTGTAGCAAACATCTTATCATCCTTCGATGCTCCTGAGGATCACGAAATAGTTCTCTTTCATTAGCACTCAACTTCAAAGAATGTATCATCGGTGAAACAACAGATCTCGTGCCTAAACAACTATAATGCATACTTTCGATGAGACAATGAAATGCTAGACTCGTTACGAGTTATTTCAAATCCAAGAAAATAGTGAAAGGAGCCTAACACTTTTAGCTTGAAGTGTTGTTGTAAAAAACTTTAAACTTGATTTAGTAATTGCATATCTTTTTCAATCATAACGATGATATCCACATAGACAAAAAGAACTATGAATTCATCACCAGAACCTTTGGTGAACATGGAATACTCAAAAAAAGATTGTTGAAACCCAAGCTTCAATACTACATTTGAAAGGCATTAAACAACTGTCTGAAAACCTGTTTATATTCACATATATGTACTTGTGTAATTTACAAACCATATTTAAGCCTTTTGATTGAGATTTGTAGTTAAGAGGTTGTCGAGACATTTATTACTCAGCGAAAAAAAACAAATAATACACCTAAGTGTAACTGTCTTGAAAAAGTAAGTGTTTATATTCTGGCATAGGATAGGACACTAATTTGTAGAGTCGCAACCAATCATTTATCAAGGTGTGATTGGTCACCAAATGATATGTTATTTTAATAAAATTCTTAAGAATAATATTAAAATAACACAAAAAAGGTCTGCTTACCAGAAAATGAGTTCGGGAGTCGGTTACGTGTGGGGAAGGATTAACACCCCACAACACCCAAAATTGATACCGTTTTTTTATTAATTAATGTCTTTGCAATAAATTAAAAAATTTATATTTAATTTTAATTTATGATCCTATCGACAAAATATTAGGGATATTATTTTATACTAACAATTATTTAAAATATCTTCCTAATCAGTTAAGGAGATATTTTATAATTCATTGTATAAAATAAAACAACCCAAATATATGTAATAAATTTAATGATTAAAACTTGAAAATATCAAAATACTAGGTTACTAGTGCAAATATTACATATTTAGATACTAAAAATATAAATAAAATAATAATATTAAAAATTAAAGATATCAAAATATGGTGGTTAAATTGCAAAATAGAAAAAGTAATGGTACTAATTTGAAATATTATAAAAACTGGGTACTAGTAATGTAATTTAACAATATATACTAATATTGGTTAAAATATAAACTATTAAAATAATAGGGACTAAAATAAATATTTATCCTAAATATATGTAAATATGTAGGTAATGACTAGAAAGAAATAAAACAAAATGTGAAAATCGAATTGAAAATATGCAAAAAAAAACTGATTTCGTGACCAAAATATAGGATTACAAAGATGGAGGGACCACATACATAATTTATCAATTATCAAAATTACACAAACATCCCTTTTCTAAAATGACGCCGTTCGGGAAGGATACTTAAGCCCAAAACCAACCCTAAGGGTCAAGTTTCTCTTTTCTCTCTTTAAGCTTTTCTCTTAAAGAGAGAAGCTCTCCCTTCTCTCTAAATTTCCTCAACAGAAGGACGTCAGTTATTGGCCAACCTTCGATCGTCGTCGCTGACCACAATCCACGGTGATAAAAAAATACCAAATTACACTGTAGACACCCATTTTGACTGGATTTAAAAAATATGAAAAATATTAATTATATATTATTATAATTATTATTTATACAAATTACATTTTATGTAGGCCTGAAGCTCAAGCCGTATACAAGTCAATTACAACTATAGCTGGAGCCCAACACAACCTACACCAGCTCAAGCCAATAGTCGCTGCATACCAACTAAAGTCAAGCAATTGTTGAGCCATTCTCGTTGCCATTGACAAATCTGCACCCAACAACAAACAAAAGCAAAAATCAGCAGAAAATTAAGCCAAAGTCAATACCTAAACCTGTCAATATTTCACCAAATAATAAAGAAAAATCAACAAGAAGACAAAGATGATTCGGTGGAAAAAATAGAAAAGGAATCATTCGAGCAAGGCATAGGGGGCTCGGCCAGAAAAAAAAGAGAGCAAGAACTTTTCATCAACAACAGAGGTTTTCTTTGATACTCAGAAAGAAAAACAGAAAAATCTTTGTAACAGGAATATCAACATTGTATTCAAAAGTCGAGAAAACAATAGACATACCAGGATATTCGAGGTATTATTATTTGGGTTTTCTCTTTATTTTCCAGCCTTATCTTTGTGTATGCTTGCATTATTTTGAAAAAAAACAGTGCAAATTGGTTCATCTCCTTCGATTAAAAGAACGGAACCCGAATGTTCTTCCCGAATCTTCAATAAAAACTGATTCACGCAAGAGTCTTTGTATATATTCGAAAAATTAAGCAGTACAAACAACATAGTATTTCTGTTTCTTTTGATTAACAATCTAAAAATAAAAAAGGCATTCATTTTCGATAGCTAACCCAAAGAAATCAAGATTTTCGAACCAGAACGTTGATTAAGTGGAGGGAGAGAGCAAAACGTTTACCTTTATCGGAGCCCAGGCGGTGTTGTTTGTTGAGATTGAAGCGCCTTGAAAGCTCTCAGTTGTGAGGGTTTCGACCATATGTTTGTTGCCCTTCGGTAAGGGTTTGAAGAAGAGGATAAAGAGAGTGAAGAGTGAAAATGGCGCTGTGAGATTGAGGAAGAAGAAACATGCGGCTGATGAGGTTTTTAGTTTAAAATTAGGTTAGGTTTAGTATTTTAGCTAGTATATATATTAAAGCTTTAGAGAAAATTGTCCCTTGGGTTTAAGAGTTTTTGCAAGTTAGTTTCCCGTGGGGACTGATTTCAAATTTACTCCTTTTGTTTGTCTCAACTTAGTTATTTTCCGAATTTGGTATTTAGTTATATTGTTTTGGTTATTTGAGCTTTGGATCATCGTTTTTTCTTTATAAATTCATCTTAGTCCTTGAATTGATGTTTTTGTATTTCTAATTTTTGTTTCCATGTTTTCCTGTATTTAATTTGGTCTCTTTCTTTTATGCATGTGAATTTTAGTCCTATTCCTAACTTTCTGCCCTTTTACATTAATGTATCTTATTTCTTGCAATTTTCATTTAAGCCATATATATGTTTCCTTCATTATATAGTTTCCTTACATACGTATTTGGTTTAATTTGAATTTAGTATATCATGATGGTTGTATATTTATGGTAATATTTTATTAGTTTTAGCTTTCCAGTTTTAAGTTATACCCTGATTGTTTGGTTCATCTTAGTCACTTATACCTTGTATTTAACACATTCATTAGATTGATTTCTTTCCCCATACGTTCAACTCTTTCTTATTTTTGTTTGATGAAATCTATAATTTTGACATTCGCACATGTTAGGATCCGTATTTTCTGCATGAAATATCTTATATGTATACTTTCTAAACGTGTTTTCTGCATTAAATAGCATATATATATATACGCGTCCTTTTGCAAATGAAATATAACATGTATACTTTGCATACCCCCCTTACTAAGGAATTTAATACACGCATATATACATGTCGACCCCATAATGTTTCCCATTTCATTTCTTTTACACGGTAAAGTAATATGTATTTGTCAATAATGAATTTATTATATGTTTCATTAAAATATTTAGGTATACGTGTATTTGTTTTTCTAACCGTATTTAAATACTATTAGTTTTTTAACATGTTTATAAATTACATATATAGTTGCATTCACTTGTACATATGAATTTAGTTATATGACATCTTTAATTAATTTCGTATGATATCATCATAAGCATCACATTGACTCGAATAGAAATAAATTGATTAAGGGCAATACCCTTTTAATTTAAAATTATTTTAAGTGAGTTGTCTTAACTTATTAGAGATCCGCTCTTGACGATTTTAAATTAAAAGTGTATCTCATTAGTGACATCTAAAAATTGATTCATCACCTTAAAATTTGGGAATGAAAGAAAAGGAAATATTCGACTATTTAAATTTTTTGAGAAAAGGTCGTTAGAACTCACCTAAAGAACTGGTCTCGATATTTTTAAATAATCGAATATTCTTTATCTTTCTAATGGCTTGATAATCCTAATTTAACTTATTTTGTTATTTTTGAATAATATAGAACTCACATTTTTATTGTTTTAAAGGATTAAAAATTAAATTAAAGATGAACTTGTAACATTCGTTGCAAAGACATTAATTAATTGACTAGGTACCGATTTAGGGCGATGTGGGGGTGTTAATCCTTCTCCACGCGTAATCGACTCCGGAACTCGAATTTTGGTAACGCGGACATCTATTTGTCGTTTTAATTAAAATTAATTTTAATTTAAAATGATAAAATAGTTTTGGGTGCCCAATCACACCCTAATCAAATATTGGTGGTGACTCCTCAAACCGTATTTGTTTTTTATCGTAAAGGAATTTCCAAATTTTCGAAACGAGATGTTTTATAAAATCGCATTGTTTTATAAAAAAAATCGCAAAGAGAAATTAAAAATGACGGGGTTTTCTAAATCTCGAACCCCACTTTAAAAATCGTTTCGACATACACCAAAATGAAGCCTGAAATTTCCTAAACACTATTCCAAGCCCCTTTTGTTCTAAAAACGTCTAAATCAACATAGATCTAGGCTTTTACCTTTGATTTTTTGACTGTTTAACAGTGGTTTAGAGGTTCACCGAATATATGTTTTTCCTCTGTCTTTCTTCTATGTTTTCGTGTGTTGTATGAGTGCTTACTGTCTCTTACTATTGTTTATAGATGCTTGTTGTGTGTTTGTTTCCCTTACAGCTGATGGGTTTATATAGCCCCTCGGAAACTCGGTTGTAATGATGGCCTATCAGTGAGTTGCTATTCTCTTATAGAGAGAAGCTCTCCCTTCTCTCTAAATTCCCTCAACAGAAGGACGTCGGTTACTGGACGACCGTCGATCGCCGTCGCTGGCCACTATCCACGGTGACAAAAAAACACCAAATTACACCAAAATAAGGCCTGAAATTTCCTAAACTCTATTCCAAGCCCCTTTTATTCTAAAAACGTCTGAATCAACATAGATCTAGGCTTTTACCTTTGATTTTATGATGGTTTAATAATGGTTTAGAGGTTCACCGAAGGAATGTTTTTCCTCTGTCTTTCTTCTATGTTTTCGTGTATTGTATGAGTGCTTACTGTCTCTTACTATTGTATATAGATCCTTGTTGTGTGTCTCTTACTATTCTATGGTTGGTGCAGCTGGAGGCGACTGCCGGAATAGACCCTAGGGTGTAATGAAACCCTAGGGTTTCTGTTATGACTGTGGACCTTTGATCTTCATCTGGATCGAATGGCTGAGAGTTGTTGGCGGCGCTGGAGAAACTGAGACGAAACCCTAGATGATTTGGGCCTTCTTTGGCCTGCTGGGTTATTGGGCCTGAATCGAGTTATAAATGGGCCTCCAAACCTTTCTTTGTAACTGGGCCTTCGGGTCTTGTAATAATAATAATAATAATAATAATAATAATAATAATAATAATAATATATATAATAAATAATCTACTATATATTATATTATATAGAACAAGACAAGAACTTTTCGTCGAGTGGACTTCATGCTTTGATGGGAAATTCGTTCCAATACTCTTTCGTAGAGATCGAATTTTGATCTGATCTTGCTTCACTACTCTTCCATGAAGGCTAGATTGAATTACTTCACTACTCTTCCATGAAGGATGAAAATGATTAACTTCACTACTCTTCCGTGAAGGTTGAAAATGATCGACTTCACTACTCTTCCGTGAAGGTTGAAAATGATCGACGTCACTACTGTTCCGTGAAGGTTGAAAATGATCGACTTCACTACTCTTCCATGAAGGTTGACTTGTTTTACTTCACTACTCTTCCGTGAAGGTTGACTTGTTCTACTTCACTACTCTTCCGTGAAGGTTGAAATTACGTTACTTTACTTCACTACTCTTCCGTGAAGGTCAGATTTGAGGTTAATTTGCTTTCACTACTCTTCTGTGGAGATCTTATGAATGGCCCTAAGGACTTATCATCTGGCTCGAAAGACTAATAGATGACCCGAAGGTTTTACAAATGACCCGGAGGTTTTACAAATGACCCAAAGGTTTTACAGCTTTGTGAGAAATACTTTAAAGGGTAAGAGACTTCTTACTTTTCAAGAATTTCATTTTCTAGAAAGAAAAATTAAATGAGAAAACTTTGAAAATCATTTTCTTTTTTTCAAAGCAACTTGTTAGTTGGGTAACATGTCCAAAAAATAATGCTTCCTCTGCGGATTACATCCTTCAGATGTTTGCCTCTCCTAACATGATTCCTACATTTAAGATCTGAATTCTACCTTATACTCGTAAGGTATTTTGTTCCTGCATCTTCATGTGAAAATATATTTATGCAAATACAATCAAATGTATCAATGTAATGCATTTTCTATTATGCAAAAGATGTTCTTATGAATGCATGAATGTCAATTCAATCTTCATTTTCTTGATCATTCCTTTCCAGAATTCACTTCAATCATTAGTGTAACAACTTATGCTTTCAAACTTGCATTTCTAAAGAACCATCTGATCAACTTGTATTTTTTGTGTCTTTTTTCAAAAGAACTGTTTCATTTATGGAACTCTTGCTGGATTCAGAATTATGACCTTGTTGCCCTACTTTGTTCTTGATAAAACTTGCTTTCTTGGCCTGAACTTGTGTAGAAATCCCATAAAGCTTTTATTTTTGAAAAGAGAATCTATCATCTTGGAGAATGTAGATGTAACCATACCAAACTCAGCAAAGATTAATTTAGGATATCATTGTCTGTTCTGATTTGACTATTAAATAACATCAGAATGAGGATTTATCCTAATTCTTTTCATGTCTCCATATCTAATCAGATCTTGAACAAGATTCTTTAAACCATATCATGACAAGATGTTTAATAACAACATATTGTTCAATCTTAGTTGGCTCCACTAGTTTCTTGTTGTTAAAATTTCAACACCCATTCGTGGAAGGAAATCTTCTTCATTTTTGAATTATGAATCTTGGATTTTTGGAGTACAATCCTCATCTTGAGTCAACAACTGGAAATACTATATGATCGCAACATTGGTTCAACACCATAATTATTGGTTCGTATTTGACAACACATTCATTCTTTCCTGTGGCTTCTTTCTAGATTTCTCAATCAGGGAACTTTTTACATGATGTTCAGATCTTTTGTATGATGTTACAAGGACACGTATGAACAAAGCTTACTGGGAATACAAGTGGGATGCCTTAACTTGTCAGCATCGAATCACCAAATTAATGTAACTTTATGATGAACAAAGCAATTATGTATGATAAGATTAACTGTCATTGTTTCACCATTTTCATTCTTCATACCTTTCTATTTCATTGAAAATATTTGCTCAAATCAATGATCTTTCTAAAGGATGATATGGGCTTTCAACATGCCCAAACATTCGCTTATACGAATGTTCAAAAAATGACCGAGCCAATACTTGCTTTTGAGCCTTCAAAATGCCCCAACATTTGCTTTTGGGTGACATGAGAATCCAAAATGCCTCAACATTTCATACTGATATGAGCCTTCAAAATGCCCCACATGAATTATTTTTAAAATGGGCCTTCAAAATATCCCAATATTTCCATACTGATGTGATTGTTTAAAATGCCCCAGATTTTAAAACATAGGGCTCACTCTCAATGTCTGT